GGTCTTCTGTAAGTGGGTGGTCAATTTCTGATTCCCATACGATTTGGAGGCCTCCAGCATCCCCTACTGTACGATCTAATATATTGCTTTATATTAGGGAAGCATATAACCCTTCAGGTCATATGCTGGCCTGTTGCATAAGGATTCCAACAAGGTAAGTGTGCCTAGGCCCTCTCCCCTGCACCCCAGGGTGGAAGCAACCCATGGAGCCAGAGTCCCATTTAGAAAAGTCCTTGAGATGAAACCATTCAATGTACAGGGCTGGATTTAAAGTACTACCTCAATCCACTGCTAGCTGGGTCTAGCTGTTCCTGTGGATATGGTAGATGGAAACATCCTCTCACACTTCCTGAACATATATGGAATGCTGCCCCAGTGAGGCCTACCTGGAGCCTACATTAACATCTCTCTAGCACAAGGTTAATCACCTTTCTCTTTTCCCAGGCATTTGATGGGACAGGATGAGCTAGGATGAGCTCACCTGCTTTGAGTTGCTGTGTTGTTTTTAGTACAGTATTACTTTATGAAGGATTTGGTGATACTTTATGATGCTGAATAACTGCAGGTTGTTTATATTTTAATTTTTTGTATTGCTTTTCAATTTGTTGTCAGTTGGCTAGGAACTGCAGTGTTTTCGGTGACTGACAAATTGAAATCATCATAATCACCATAATGAGGGATATCACTTCAACTGTTTATACTGGGTCGGGGTAAATCAATTTTAATAGTTTGCTCGAATAACAGGTTTGCTCTTCAAAGACAAAATGGTTGGTATAGTCAATTGCTCCCTCTGCTTGACGTGTTTGATAAAAAGGTGCGTGCAGTAATTCTGACTCAGAAGTATTTGTATTTGTTCAGTTTTATGAGGACCAAGCTTATCTTGCACCTAGAGGCATAAGAACTTCTATGAGCAAATATTTGGACCAGCTTCTGTGTTAGCCAGTCTACTTGGTTCATTCCTAATCACAGGCTAGGGGGAAAACCAGTTTAAGACAGGGGTTGGGAAACACCTTCAATAGACAGTGAGATTATTGTAAGAACAGTGTAGAGGTCACTAAGTTGCAAAAGGCTTAAGGGGGTCATGGCAATCCAGGGTGGTATTGCTATGCTGTGCCTACACAATTAAAGGCATAGGAGAAGCTGCAATACAGAGTCACTAATTGCTAAACTTCTAACAAAGAATCAGGCATGTGTTTTTACACTGGGCTAATTAGAACGAATGTGTAGGATACAATTCAGGTATTATATCTGAAGTCTTCTCCCATTAACACAAATTCAAGAAACTATAACAATCCTTGAACAAATTTTGATTATCCTAACTTCTTTCTTTATATCTCCCTGCATCACCTCCATAAACCTATGCCAATGGAACCTCACATTTTGGATTTCCCCAGGCCAATTCCATTAATGAGATTGCACTTTACCAGAGCAATTTGTAATTAAAAGTTCAGTTCTTATTTGCTTGCATTTTGCTGTGTAGTAAAATGTCATTGTTGGGACTTGGTACTGAAAGACATGACTAGGCAAAAAAAGACTGTCCTGATAATTTATTGCTTCAGCAACAACGAAAACACTCTGCATCCCCCTAATTTTTATCAGAACAGAACCCCAAGGTAAGCTTGCTCTCAGATCTTCTCTCTAATGAATGATTCACACGGGTCTCACACGACGTGACTTTCCTCAGCTCCTTCTCACTTGTTACCTTGTGACTTGTTTACAATATTTACAATTACAAGAACTAGTGCGTATGGGGTGACCACACTTGCTTTCTACCTCATTAATTAAGCCTAAAAATGAATAATATTTATCTACCTAAAAACAGATAATATCAGCTTATGGAGTAAGGAAATCAAGTATAAAAATTATGAAGACAATCCTACAAAATATAGATATAAACAACTTGTGGTATTCTAACCATTTCACTTCTCACCATTGCAGTTTGATAATATTGTGAACCTGATGAACTTACAGATGCAGCCTGGCATTTATTAACCAGATATCTGAGAATCCAAATGAGTAACGTGGGAGTTGTTGCAACATAACTCCCGTATAAATCACCATTAGGCTTTAGGCAAATATTGGCTTAAGCTAGAGACGGAACCACTGCTCTTAGCATGCACTGCCTTACATATCGCCTCTCTTTATGCTTAAGCAAACTGAACAGCAACAGTCCCTTCAGGCTGTACTCATGGGCACCAGCAGAGTCAATTGCTGCTGAATACGGCAGGCGGAGTCCAGAGAGAAAATCCTGGTAAAGTTTACAAAACAAGCTGAACAGAACAGTGTATACTACCTGAGCAGGAAAAAACAAAAGGGTTTCGCCCTTCTGATTGTTGGTGCGAGGAAAAAAATGGGTATAAAAAGGAGTACTTGTGGATGCCAAGATCCAAGTTTGGGGTAAGTTCTCTTTGATGAGAGAACCCCAGCAGAGATTTAAAATCACAAAATATGCAGCAAAGTAAAGTGTGGAAATACAGGCTTGTTAGACCTTTAAAAGATGACCTTGAGAGTTCCCAAACTTCCCTCTTTCCCCAGCATAGAAAAAGACCACATACAGTACAGTGTGGTACCTTGGTTCTCAAACGCCAAAAACCAGCCCCAGTGGCAAAGCTCTAGTACTGCCAGTAGTTATTTCATAAAATTTATAAAGTGCTTGATTGTAAAACAAAACAAAACCTTCAGACCTCCAGACTGGGTTTTGAACCCTGAAGGACCAGGTGCGCAGCCTGGGAGTCATTTTGGACTCACAGCTGTCCATGGAGGCGCAGGTCAATTCTGTATCCAGGGCAGCTGTCTACCAACTCCACCTGGTACGCAGGCTGAGACTCTACCTGCCAGCGGACTGTCTCGCCAGAGTGGTGCATGCTCTAGTTATCTCCCCCTTGGACTACTGCAATGCGCTCTACGTGGGGCTACCTTTGAAGGTGACCCGGAAACGACAACTAATCCAGAATGCGGCAGCTAGACTGGTGACTGGGGGCGGCTGCCGAGACCACATAACACCGGTCTTGAAAGACCCACATTGGCTCCCAGTACGTTTCCGAGCACAATTCAAAGTGCTGGTGTTGACATTTAAAGCCCTAAACGGCCTTGGCCCAGTATACCTGAAGGAGCGTCTCCACCCCCATCGTTCTGCCCAGACACTGAGGTCCAGTGCCGAGGGCCTTCTGGCGGTTCCCTCATTGCGTGAAGCAAAGCTACAGGGAACCAGGCAGAGGGCCTTCTCTGTAGTGGCGCCCGCCCTGTGGAACGCCCTCCCAACAGATGTCAAAGCGATAAACAACTACCTGACATTCAGAAGACATCTTAAGGCAGCCCTGTTCAGGGAAGTTTTTAATGTGTGATATTTTAGTGTATTTTGGTTTCTGTGGAAGCCGCCCAGAGTGGCTGGGGAAACCCAGCCAGATGGGCGGGGTACAAATAATAAATTATTATTATTATTATTATTATTATTATTATTATTAAACCCCCTCATTCTCTCAAGAGCAGTACACACAAGGGAAAAAGAAGACATATAACACAGACAACAACATAGCTCCCAGGGCTGGAGGCTTGCAGAGAGCACTGATAGGCCTCCTGAAACAAGGATTCAAGACCCATTCAGAAAGAAAAACAATCTCTTGACAAAAAGCCACAGAAACCATTTGGGAAGCAGGAGGTATAAATACAGACCCCCCCCCCAGACCGAAGGCAAAGAAGACTCGAGTGAGAAAGTGTATGGATTTTAGTCTTTGCATCAACCTCTTGTTTCTGGGTGGACATGCTACTGCCCGATCACAGCTAAGGGCTCAGTCCATATAAGAACTGGCTCTCATATAGTAATCTACCTCACAAAGTTGTTGGATAATATGTTCCTCCAAATGCCCCTGAGGGTGGGATACAAGTGTAACGAACAAATACGTGAATTTTATTTCTAGCAAGTTCCGCATGAAAACAAGAGGCTCTTCACACAGCCCACCTCCCTTTTCCTACCTAGCTTGCTGGGCAGAGCTGTGCTGCATTTTCTAGTGGCACCAACAGACCAAACGATGGTCCTCGTGGCATCTGTGGAGCAGCGAGCAGCAGTAAAGGTATATGGGCGGGCTGGTGAGCATCCAATGCAGATGGAGGCTGGTTCATGCAGGTAGATGGCCAGGACCAAAGCCCTGTTTGGGATGAAATGGCTACTGCTATCCCAAATGTCTACTGCTATCCCAAAGTTGGGGGGAATTGTCTTCTGTGTGCTCCACTCACCTTGATGCACTTACAAGGAGAATGCACCTTGTTCAGCACAGCTGTAATGCTTGTGTTGCCACCAAGAATTTGGAAAACTTGGGTTGTTTAAAAGGAGAACAAAGAAGAAACAGACATTAAGAATATAGTAACCAAACTCCTGCAGCCATCTGGGTAGAGTTTGCTGTTGACATTCAAAAGTTCACATACTGGAATTCCTTGAACTCTAATGCACTTACCATTTGCACAAGCTATGTAGCACCCATGTACAGCATGTGCTAATTTGCTGACAGTATGCACAACAGACCAAGGGACTTTTGGGGCAAATGGGATGAGATGAGCTAAAACTATGTACTTCTGGTTTCATTCTATATCTTTTTCTGTAAACTTCTGTTTTGCAATAAAAAGCTGTCAACATTTTCGCAAGGGGGAAATGTTCAAGTACTGGGCATATTTATTTATTTGCTTACTACTTTTCTACAGTGCACTATATCCAAAATATTTTAAAACAAACTGTTTTAGACCTATTATCAAACTAAAATAAATTCTTGGAGACTCTTGACTCCACCGCTATGAGCAGTGCTTTTTCTTAATGAAGTGTTAAGTGTCTTTTTTCAATCAATGTGTATGGGGGAAAATTCTTCCCCTCTGGATATGCATATTTGTGCAAACAAGTAAATGTGTTAAATTTCAGATCAGCACTGGTTCTATCCTGGAGGCACTGGAATGATCTCCTCTTCCAGACTTGGGATCTTCTAAACACCCCCTCCAGCTTTCTTCTCAAGCAGAGACCAAGAGGAAGATTAGGCTTGCAGTCATCCATTCATTTTATCACCCGAGGCCCAGGGCAGGTAGATCTTGTGACTGGGAGGAAAGTGTGACAGTTGTTATTGTGTTCAAGCTGGAGGGATTTAGGCAGAGCCATGGGGTTAAAGGCTAGAGGAGTGGAGGTCTTAGGATGGGAAGGTAATGAAGCTAGATGAGTGGTCATGTATGTACTATTTGGGTAGAAGAAAGACTGAAGGTGGGAAGGATGGGAAATAGGGGAAGATGAGGTAATGGATTTTGGGAGCTCATTATATAGAAGAATGGGGGGGAAACAAATGATTCGGAAGTAGGTTTTGAAAATTATATTGGATTATTTGGAGAAGCACTGAAGCATGAAGGGTAGTAGTCAACTAAGTTTTCTCAAAGGAGCGTCTCCACCGCCATCATCCAGCCCAGACACTGAGGTCTAGCGCCGAGAGCCTTCTGGCAGTTCTCTCACTGAGAGAAGTGCGGTTACAGGGAACCAGGCAGAGGGCCTTCTCGGTAGTGGTACCTGCCCTGTGGAACACCCTCCCATCACATGTCAAGGAAATAAACAACTATCTGACTTTTATTTTTATTTTTTATAATATTTTTTATTGCATTTTTCCAGATAGAAATACAAGGTCAGATATACAAAGAAATAACAGAAAAGAAAAAGAAAAAGAAGAAACTCATCTTTTCAAAGCATTTTTCCATAACCAACCGGACTTCCCCCCGTCCCCCTCACCTTGCGTTCTTTACAATAAAATTTTTCAGCAAATTATAACCTTATTTCGTGCATTCTTTTGTTCTTTCAAATACTTATGATTTGCGTTTAAAATGCTTATTGTCAATTTACACTAATAATATATATAATGTTCTTTTAAACGTTAGTCCTTTCATTAATTTAGCTTAGTTTCCCATACCTTAATCTTATTGCTGGAGCTGAATTTCCCTAATCATGCGAATTCTTAACATTCATATAACTTGTAAAATTTTTGTAAATAATCTTTAAATTTTTTCCAATCCTCCTCCATTGCTTCTTCCTCCAAATCTCGGATCCTGGCAGTCATCTCGGCCAATTCCATGTAGCCCATCAGTTGCGTCTGCCACTCTTCCAGTGTGGGTAAATCTTGAGTCTTCCAGTATTTTGCGATAAGAATTCTTGCTGCTGTAGTTGCATACATAAAAAGGTTCTATCCTTCTTTAACACCTTCTGACCGACAATGCCCAGTAGGAAGGCCTCTGGTTTCTTGGGAAAAGTGTACTTAAACACTTTTTTAACTCATTATAGATCATTTCCCAGAAGGCCTTCACTTTTGGGCAAGTCCACCAGAGGTGAAAGAATGTCCCTTCAGCCTCCTTACATTTCCAACATTTATTATCAGACAAATGATATATCTTAGCAAGCTTGACTGGGGTCATGTACCACCTGTATATCATTTTCATAATATTCTCTTTCAAGGCATTACATGCCGTGAATTTCATACCAGTGGTCCATAACCTTTCCCAGTCTTCAAACATAATGTTGTACCCAATGTCCTGAGCCCATTTTATCATGGCTGATTTGACTGTCTCATCCTGAGTGTTCCATTTAAGCAGCAAGATATACATTCTCGAAAGTACCTTGGTCTTTGGTTCCAACAATTCTGTCTCTAGTTTCGATTTTTCCACCTGGAAACCTGTTCTTTTGTCCAGCTTAAAAACCTCTTGAATTTGAGCATAGTGAAGCCAATTTTGCACCTTATTCTTTAATTTTTCATAACTGCAGCCTCCAAGAACAACTATCTGACTTTTAGAAGACATCTGAAGGCAGCCCTGTTTTTAATGTTCAATGTTTTATCGTCTTTTTAATATTCTGTTGGGAGCCGCCCAGAGTGGCTGGGGAAACCCAGCCAGATGGGTGGGGTATAAATTATTATTATTATTATTATTATTATTATTATTATTATTATTATTATTATTTTCCTCAGAATAAACATAAATGGCTCTAATTGGTCATGTTCATTCATTTCAGTGTGTCTATTCTGCATAAAATTTGGCTGAATATCACCCAGTGTCCTAAAAAAAACCACAACTTGGTTAAACTTTAATCAGAATACAATATTCTGAATTATTTCTATGGAAGTTCTTGGTTTAGAAGCAGAGTCATGGGAAGTCTGGGGTCCTCTCTGATCCTTCCCAGACCAGATTCTGCCTTGTTACTGGTTGAGTTAACAACAGGGTTGCTGGCGTTCCGAACCTGCCAGAAGAGGTGTGTGTGAGGACTCTGTGTCCCTTGAAATGATTGGTGGTACTTAAGAACACTGGGACAATCCATTATTTGTTGCAAGTACATTTACTCCCCTGCCCACTTGGCTTGTGATGAGCAGAAGTGCTACCAGCTAAACCATTTGCCTTAATTGCATTATGGAACTCACCCCCCCACCCCACCTGCTGCCCATCAGGAAAAAAGAAAAGAAAAGAAAAATATATGGTAGCAGTAGCACTGCTGTAATTAAACTTTGGTCCGGTTATGACTCATCAAGTGAATATCAATTGTGCTTTACAACAATAAAAACCATAATGGGGCAATTTTTTTTCTGCTAACAAAAATCAAAATCAAATGCTGTACCAAGAAAAGCAGAATCTTAGCAGAGTTCTCCATGGCAATGAGTAAGAAGATCTCCAGGGTCTAAACTAGACATTATTATTATTATTATTATTATTACTAACATGTGTTTATGAAGAGCTTTTGTGTGAGTGAAGGAAGCAGAAGCTTCTTCCACCTCCACTTTTGTTATAAAAATTGGATACTCTCTCTTCTCCCTGTTTTATAAATTAATGAGGGAGACAAGTAAAGAACAAACATGGCTACCCCCAGGTATGTCTAGCTTGGCTCTGAGTGATGGAGCCTAAAATGCAGGTTGCCTCTTGTCAGAAAACAGCTGAGGTTTCTTATAAGCATAGTGTGGTGTAGTGGTTAAGAGCGGTAGTCTCGTAATCTGGGGAACCGGGTTCGCGTCTCCGCTCCTCCACATGCAGCTGCTGGGTGACCTTGGGCCAGTCACACTTCTTTGAAGTCTCTCAGCCCCACTCACCTCACAGAGTGTTTGTTGTGGGGGAGGAGGGGAAAGGAGAATGTTAGCCGCTTTGAGACTCCTTAAAGGGAGTGAAAGGTGGGATATCAAATCCAAACTCTTCTTCTTCTTCATTTGCTAGTGCCAATGAAGGCTTGGGCAAACTGAGGAAAGGCCAGGTTTTTACAGCACCAGGCTGCTAGAAGCAATGTTCAGATGCCATCTGCTTTCTGAGGCTGGTGGTCATGGCTTCAGTTTCCATGCTGTAGTCACGAGGGATAGAAACTTAAAACTACAGATAAAGAGATACTGAGACAAGATAAGAAAATGTTCTTCTATGCAACAACTGCAGCAAGAATTTTGTTAGCCCCAAAATGGAAACATGAAGTAGCAACAAAAGAAGCGTAGCAGATGAAACTGATGGACTTTGCAAAACTGGCGAAACTGACGGGAAGAATCCGGAACCAGCGAGATCAAGCATTCCAAAGAGACTGGAATAAATTTATATTATAATTGAAAGACAACTGTAAGCAACTAACATTACTAGCAGGGTTGTATGAAGATTTGTAAGATGAAATTGCTACCTATTCAGGTTGCGTAATTTAATATATTAGGTAATGATATAACAAGAATAGGAAAGGAAGTGAAATGCAAAGATGCAAAATGTAATTTTGTAAACCATTAGGCGGGAGGGAGGGAAGTCGACAGAGTAGAGCCAAAGAGATTTAATAAGAGGATATGATGTTACGCAATGTGATTATATGTAAAACTAATAAAAATTACTATAAGAAACATAAAACTACAGTTGTACCTTGGAAGTCGAATGGAATCTGTTCTGGAAGTCCGTTCAATTTCCAAAATGTTTGAAAACCAAAGCATGGCTTCTGATTGGCTGCAGGAAGCTCCTGCAGCCAATCAGAAGACGTGGAAGACCCATTGGACGTTCAGCTTCCCAAAATAGTTCACAAACCAGAACACTCACTTTGAGGTTTACAGCGTTCAGGAGCCAAAACGTTCAAGAACTAAGCTGATCGAAAACCAAGGTACAACTGTATCCTATAGTACACAATCGCAATTCCCAATATTCTGTCAAAGTAAGGGATGGCTGGTGAGGTGAATGCCATCCTTTTGGTTAGACTTTGAATGCTGTTCTGAAAATACTTAAAGCTAACTTTTACCAGAAGTGCCTGGGAGGAAACCCTGGGGAGGGGAGAAATAAGAGTCCAGATTTTTAAACTTTACCTTCGTATTGTGCATTCAGTACATATAGCTGATTAACACATACCTAGGGAAAGAAAATTGCCACCTTCTTTTTCAGTGACTGGCAAGCCAGTCCTGCCAACTACTTCAGATCATGTGCTGAAATGTTTCACAGAGGAAAGGAGAGATGTGCAGCACAAAGTAAGCCGCATTTTCAGGGAACTTTCCTTCCCACCCACTCACTACTCTAGCCTTGAGGAGGCCACTCCACCAGCATGCCACTTCACACACTGTTTGTTTTAGTAGCTCTTACTCAAGGCTTTTTATCTTGGGTTCCTGTTTGCACAGCTTGTTCAGAGCCAAGTCCCTCAATGTCAATTCCTCCAAATTAGCTTTGCTCATCAGAGCACAGTGGCCTGTTGTTGGAAGATTTACAGGCTTGCTGGTCCGGGGGCCAACTCTTTGTCAGAATTTTTATTTTTAGAGCGTGTACCATGAAAGTATATATATCTGGGAATATATCCTTCTTAAATTGTGGTGCCCAGAACTGGACACGGTGTTCCAGGTGTGGCCTAACCATGACAGAACAGAGCAGGACTATTACTTTCCTTGATCTGGACACTATACTTCTGTTGATGCAGCCTAGAAAAGCATTAGCCTTTTTTGCTGTTGCGTCATGTTAAGCTTGTGGTCTGCTAAGACCCCTAGATCCTTTTCACATGTACTACTGGCAAGCCAGATGTCCCTCACCTTATATTTGTGCAGCTGGTTCTTCCTGCCTAAGTGCGGAACCTTTCATTTGTCCCTACTGAAATTCATTTTGTTAGTTTTGGCCCAGTTTTGCAATCTGTTAAGGTCATCTTGAATCCCGATTCTGTCTTCTGCGGCATTGGCTACCCCTCCCAGTTTGGTGTCATCTGCAATGTTATGAAACACATTGTGTAGGTACCTGTCAGGGAACTGCCATCGGACGGAAGGGAGGTGAAAGGGCTCACACAGGTTGGGAGAGACGCAGCAGCTGAAGAGGGAACCAACAGGGAGGTGAAAGGGCTCACACAGGTTGGGAGAGACGCAGCAGCTGAAGAGGGAACCAGCAGGGGGAGAGGAGCTGAGCTGGAGGGATGGCTCAGAGACACTTCCAGCGAAAACAGTGGGGAAGTTTCAGGACCTCCTGTAAGAACACCCACTCCTCGCCGGAAACTGTCACGCAGAGATTCCAGAAGACGTGTTTCCGTTAAGGAGCTTTTATGTTGGAAGCGATTACGAAAGCAACCACTGTCGGAATCTGCTAGTGACTAGAGTAGCCATGTCTGAGGGGCTCCGTCACAGACAGAGGTTTGTGGTCTTGAACAAACTCTGAGGGGATACGATTTTACGCACAAGCAGCTCATCATCCCATCACAGCATTCCGACAGTCTTTGAAAGCAGCTTGTGCAGGAGAAGGCATCATGAGCAACCCAGCCGGAACCGGAGAAGCAGGAGCTGGAGCGGGTCCAAGCCTGGAAGAAAGGTACCAGATGTTGGAGGT